TTATATATATATAGTGTCACAACCCCTGGTATGCCCCAATTTATATATATATAGTGTCACAACCCCTGGTATGCCCCAATTATGGGAGGAAGCTAACTGCTTCCATTCGAATCCCAGGAAGGGTATGGCTAGCTGATGAGAGCTAAATACCTTGAAATAGATCTATACTAGTCTCCCTTTATTTATTTATCAGCACAAATACCACACAGACACACACACACACACACACAATTATAATTTATTTTAACTGCCCAGAATCACTTAAAGTTAGGTGGCAAATAAATTTATAAACAAACAAACAAACAAACAAACATCTCCAAGATATGAGACAATCACTGAAGCTCAACCATCATAGAACTACTTGTAGTACTCAAGTAGTATTCAACTTACAACAATTCATTTAGTGATTGTTCGAAGTTACATCGCTGTAAAAAGAGGCTTATGATCGTTTTTTACTTACAACCATTTCAGCATGCTCATACTCAAATTATCAAAATTCAGACACATGACAACTGACTCATATTTATGACAGTTGCAGTGTTCCTGGGTTGTCTAATCACCTTGTCTGACCTTCTGACAAGCAAATGGGGAAGCAGATTCACTTAACAATTGTATTGCTAAATTAATACCGTAGCTGCATTGATTCACTTAGCAACCTTTGCAAACAATGTCTTAAAATGAGGCAAAACTCACTTAACATATCAACAGAAATTTCAGGCTTAATTGTGGTAGGAAGTCGAGGACTACTTGAATTAGCATCATAAATCTACTAGCAAGATCCAATAATGATAACCAAAAATGTTTTTCCTAATCAATACATTTATAGCATTTATGTTTGAATTCTAGATATCACAAACCCCAAACATATATGCATACCTGTAACAGTTCCAGTGTCATGGATATATTCTTAAGTTCCTTGAGTAAGTCAAGAGCCCCAGCCTGCAAAACATATTGAAGATTAAATATATTGCCATGTACTTAGAAAAGACACCAAATATCATTTATACAACTTCAAATCTATGATATAAATGCTAATTAAAATGATACTGATAAACATTTGAAAAAATTTCTTCATGTTTGTTCCAAAAACTGATAACTCTTCTCGTCCTTAAAAACGTGAACTAGGTACATCCTAAAGTAAAGTCTACCTATGTAAAGCCAGTGACATTTAATTAAAATTTTCTAAAGACTACTGATTTTTCCAATGTCTTGCATAATATTTAAATTCAGCTTAAAGGGAAATTATAAAATTAGCACAAAATCAAATACTATCCAAGATGTACCAGGAGGCGGAAACTAGGTTGTCGATAATTTTTCATAATATTTTCACTTGTTTACACAGTCTGATTTCTATTTAATGCTGAGCTCCTAATTTATTTTTAAACGTAGTAAGGGGGAAGGGGAAATTACTTTACCACAGAATTCAAACTTTTTAACTTCTATAGGTACAATCTATGAGATTTAGATTATATTCATATTGATCTGATTGAAAAGTTAGATTTGTAAGATTTATAAAAAAAATTACTTCTCTGGCAACTTGTAAGTCATGAGTATCAAAACAAATATTCTGGTAGATATTATGAAATAGAATTGAATTGTAAGAGTACTTTATTCAACTTTATAAGAGCCAAGGTGGCGCAGTGGTTAAATGCAGCACTGCAGGCTACTGCTAGATCAGCAGTTCAGCGGTTCAAATCTCACCGGCTCAGGGNTGGCTAGCTGATGAGAGCTAAATAGCTTGAAATAGATCTATACTAGTCTCCCTTTATTTATTTATCAGCACAAATACAACACACACACACAGACAGACAGACAGACAGACACACAATTTAACCTCCACCTCCTCAAAATATGTTGGAATAGTTATTGGTTGTGGTAAATATAAGAAGTTTCTAAACCTGGTATCAAAATTGATACAAGGTAAATAGTTATTTAAAGTTCTGATTAAGATTATGGTGATAGATAAATGATATAAGATTTCTATATTTTCTTAAAAGTAAAGTATTAGCATAACAATGCAAGTTATATCAAGCAGATTGAAAAGACATTAGGAACATTTTTATGATAAGGAAAAACAAAATTTTACTTAACTAATTTATGGCTATGGTATGATAGGTTAACTTTCCTGATTTTTAGCTGTATAGTTGTGCATAAGTTTCAACTTAAATTTCTTTGTGAAATGAAACTGAGTAGATTTTAAACAGATACAATTTAAAAAGTTTCACATAATGATGGAGACTTGATTCTAATCTGACTTATTTCTTGCATATAGCAGAATCTGTTAATGCAATTTCTTTTTTTTTCTTTTTACATATTTTCAAAATAAAGCATGCTAATCTACTACCATCTATTGTGGTAGAAAAGGTCCATAAGGAATTCTTATAATTGAACAAACCATTCATTATTCATAGTTTAAAAATTAATACTCATTTGCCAATATTTACTTAAATGTGTTCTGTTTTAATTCTATTCTGTCTGAAACAAGCTCATATGTAACAAAAAGAACATAAATTAAAAATCAACTATTCCTTTTCTGTTAGCTATAGCTTATGTGTCCTGGAGCTAACAGCTTTATGTACACACATCAGTTTAAAATACTGATTTCTCACATGTTTGCATAACTAAAGCTAACTATACCTAGATTATTTACATTATTAAACATGAATATTTATAACAAGATTAGTGAGAAAATAGATATCTTAAGTGAATTTTATACTTTCTCTCCCTTTGAAAAAATCATAGATTCTCTGATCACTTCATCTGCAGCTTCAGTGACAACGGTGACAGATCTCTTCATAGTGATCTGTTGAGGCAACTACTGTAGCTTTCCTTTAAATGTTTTACGAGATACTCATATCCTGATTTTAGATGAAAAATTAGATGTCCTTTTTATATACATATTTTTATCAGCGTTCTGCATTTTGTGGAATATTATTTTTATACTTTTTTACACACACACACACATATTTATTTATTTATTTATTTATTTGTTTGTTTATTTATTTATTTATTTATTTAGTGTCACAACCCCTGGTATGCCCNCTATCTATCTATCTATCTATCTATCTATCTATCTATCTATCTATCTATCTATCTATCTATCTATCTATCTATCTATCTATCTATCTATCTACATCAACTGTAGGTCCAAGATTTCCATTGTACCCAGTTAGAGGAATGTTTTTTCTGGCATAATACTATCTACATCAACTGTAGGCTCAATATTTCTCCAAGCCATATCAGGAGATGCCAGGAACTGAACCAACGACTGCATGCAAAGCATATGTTGTTTCATCCATTTCTGCTATTCTATGGAGACTTGACAGCAGTAAGTTATAGCCTTCTATAGTGCTAAAACATGTGTATAAATTTAAATACTTTTAAATTATATAGATAATTTAACAATATATTCAGATCCCCCCCTCCCCCAAATACAAATAATACTGTATTTTTATTTTGGAAACACAAAAAGTCATAGATTTTTGCTTAAACAAATCAAGTAGGCAGGAAGACTCTACACTATTTTCAACTGACATATGTAAATGTTGTTTTAGCGTGTCAATTAAATATGGATTCATACTTGTATCTTAGATTAAAAAAATAAAAATTGTAATGCTGAATGTTTATTACCTCTGCTGACATTTTAGCAAATCTATCAGGAGGTATATTTCCACATAAAACATTTTTTCTTAAATTAGGATTTTTTGTATCTTTAAGATTTGCTATTCTGCTGCGCACTCTATTTTTATATTTCATGTCAGTATTTTTTAGCTCCTGAAATATAGGTATTCATTAATTAAGGAAATAATGTGTAAAACACAGAATTGATTTATTTTACAAATATTTGACATTTTATAATTGCCTGTTTTTAATTAATAAGAGCATACATATGTAGAAATTTAACTAAATTTATATTAGCCCAAACTATGAAGTTTGTCTTGCTTACATGAATTAAATATGCACAAAAGCAATGTTATTTTAATGGTATGATATTTTAATATTAAAATATTTTAATAATCTCAGTTATCAAAGGCACATATACACTTTGTCCTGTTAATAACAAAATCCATTAATATATGCAATATTCTAAACGTTTATCTTTTTTCTACCATACAATTTGTTTAAAATATTACCTGATCTAAAATACTTTAATAAAGTTTACAAAAATGTAAGTATATTAGTGAACACAATACAGACCAATGTAAACAATTATAGGAGCCCACAAAAAATCAAAGAACAAAATATTTTAAGAGGTTAAGAATTAAACTATAGAATAAGGTAGAACTTTTATTATATAAGAAAGGATATCTTCTTCAATCTGAGAACCTAGTTCTTCATCATCAGCACCAATAGCAATATAATCATCTGAAAAATAAATCAATTGGGAATCAGTTTTTTGTAAGCTGGTTATATACATATATTTAGATGCAAATAAAGTTGTGTTTAATAAAATGTGCTCCAAATTATACAGTACTATAACTGCAGTGGATTCTATCCACAATTAGAGTATCATAAAAACAAGTACAAAAATAACTGTAAAACAATCACAAGCTGGCAATCCAAACAACAATTCAAACATAAAACATCACAAACAGGGGCGTTCCATCCCCCCTACCCCAAGGCCTAGGTAAATTTTCAAGGCCTTCTTGAACATCAGGGTGGAAAGCATATGGATCTCACCTCATTCCAGAAGGCAGTCATCCCTAAAGAGAAGGTGAATTTTCTAGGTATTGAAAGAGGATACCATTTAATTGAGATGACCCAAAGCACACCACTCTGCAACATTGCATCAGAGGGGCAGAAAGAGAAGAAGATAGGTAGCTTAGGCCCTATGCCATATATAGGGTTTTAAAGATAATAACCAGCATCTTGAATATTTCATTTGGACCCTTAATTTGTTAAACTCTGGGCTATTTATTTCTAGAACCGAAACAGTCAGTTCTTTCAGTTCTCTTTTTCATTCCCCTCTTTGAATTAGAAATTAACTTTCTAACACTTTTCAGAGTGAAGACTTCCATCTGATATTAACTGGTCAAAGACACTTCAGTGGGTTATTTTTCCACTAGGTCATTTTCACCTCACTTCTCCATTCCTTTTTTGGTGTAACTTGTAACTTTAGATCAGCAAAAGACTTTCTACAGTACTGACACAAGACATCTCTTTATGTAATATCGGATGCATATCCAATCTACTTAATTGTAAATTCAAAATTGCAACAATTATAAGTTCAGAGCTAAAAATAACTTAAGGCTATTCTCAAAAAGAAATATGACAAATTCACAGCAACTAAAAATAATAAGTCACATACTGGAACATATAGAGCAGGGGTCAGCAACCTGTGGCTCTGGAGTCGCATGTGGCTCTTTAATACCTCTGCTGTGGCTCCCTGCCGCCAGTCGGCTCCACAATTGATAGGTCATTTTGTCAGGATAGGTAGACGAAAAAGGACGCTGCGCTAGGAGGAGAATCTATGGTGGTGGAACCAGACTTCCGGTCAGCTTCAGAATTGAACTGGGGGGGGGGGCGCTCCGGTTACAACCTTTGCGGCTCTTTTTAAGGTTGCCAACCCCTGATAGAGGATCCGCTAAAAAAATGTTTTGCACCATGCACTTAATAAAGTCTCACAGCCAGTTTCTTAATAGCCTTGCATTTTGTATTATAAAAGTAGAAAGAAAATATTGAGCTGAATAAAAAGTAAGTATAGCACAGTAATATAATTCTTACCCCCTGTTTTAAGAGCTGCTGCCAACATTTCTCTGCATTTCATCCGTACAGAATCAGATGTGTTTGGAGCCCGGGGAAAAGAAGAGATATATGTGTCTGATGAAATGTTAGAATCCTCTTTCTTGCTGTTTGAATTGCTACTGGAACTGCTAAATATGCAAACAGACAAACACTTTTTTTTTTGTTTCATTACTAATCAGCAGGACCCACAAGGGATGATTTGGACTCTTTTTATCACCCACCCAGACACTGCTTCTACTGATCAAATGACCCTTTTAAAGATCTAAATCAATGAACAAAACCTCCAGTATTAAATATATTTCCATGTGTATAATGAAGTTCGTAAATGCAGAAATACATATTTCATCAATCCCAGGTGTTAAAGTAATACAAAAAATTAAGGTCTTTCCTCTGTACATATTGATTATTTATGACTTAAATATTCCAATCTAAACTGACAGGATTTCATCTAACCAAGTGTTAAATGTTCCTGTACATGGTATAAGACTATTTTGTAATCTTTTCTCCATATGTACTTTCATCATGTCCTTTAATATTACCCTTGAGTTGTACTCTTTAAGTTTGTAAACATTAGGATGACTTAATATTAGTTGTCTTCTACCATTTAAGCAAAAAGATTATAAGAAGTACCTTTCTTCCCTTGCTTCAGGACTATTTTGTGACGATGATGCTGATTCTTTTTTCTTGTCTTCAGATTCTTTGTCATTTGATGGTCCATCTAAAATGCATATGTAATACATAAAAGTAATAATAGTTCAGTTAATGAAATGAGGGGATGTCAATCCAAGATAAATAAAAGATTAGGGAGTGTCTGACAGCAATGAATGAATTTAATTAATTAATTATATCTGATTAATTAACTAATTAGCTTCATAAGAACAGGTTAGATAAATCTTCACTTCTTCTTTCTCTTTTGCCCTTTATGTAGCCATTTCTTTCTACTTAATTACTATTTAATTTGGCCTCATCTCAAGATGATATATAACACTAACTACACATAACTGAGACCTGCAAACAAGCATCAGAGAGGCACAATCAGCTTTTCTAATTCTTAATTTAAAAAATAACAATAACTTTATCATCATAAAGAACATTCAAAGGCAAAGAGAACTCCTGCTGCTATTTTCTAAATCTACATCTATTCTAAATTGCTCTTTTCCACAGGTAGAAAATTAGTATCTTTTCTCACAAAGTCTAGCTAGAAGGGGGGTATGTAAGAAATAAATCTATGGGTAAAAGTGTTACACTTCTCTTTCCCATATAGCAACTCTGAAACAGCTCATTGAATTCTTGGATGAAATTTTGGATGTCATAGTAGTTTAAAATACGGGGAAAATATAGGGAATAAAACCAAGAAAAGACTAATCACAGGAAAACTGTTGAAGAAAAAAATGTATTGTCATTGTTAAGGAATTAAGAATCCAAGTAAAAGGTAGAAGTTGGATTACAAAGGAAATAATTATCCCATGAACATTATCTTAATCTCCATATGTTACAGTATATAATTTACTGGTACATCATTCTGGTTATAGGCTAGCTAAGTTCCTTGTTCTTCACATCAAGCTGGACAAGCTATAGATTTTTGAGAGAATTTTGCAAGATAGATTCATCAGCACTGTTTAATCCAAAATTATTTTTTTAAGTTTACTGAAAGGTTACTGTAGTAAGAATAGTTTCAAAAAGGTTTCTATAATTTAGTGATCCATCTTTAAAATGCTAGATTATTAATAATTATTAGATCGTTGTAAAAACCTTTGTTTATATTTTAAGTTTTCACTATAGTATTACTGTATTATGTTTGAAGGTAATTTTTTAAAAAAAGAATGTACATTTCAAAATGCTCTTTTCCCTGATTCAACCATTCTAAATTGTCTAATGCACATAATAAACTACTTGAGAATTTTCCAGGATATCCATCCTCCCCCACCTGCAAACATATTCCTCAGGTCAACTAAGTAGTCATTAGTACATAGAATAATCAAGAAGGAATATCTCTTAAGGTATGTTATAGTTTCATTCATCACTATAGCCAAAAACCATAAGAAGAAACTATATATACAAGACCAAGAAAAGGAGTTAATATTTAGATTAATTTGAAAATTTTCTAGCAATGAGAAAATGCAAAAGCTTAGTGCATCTGTACCTAACAATTTCTTCCATGATTTAATGAGAGATTTTGCTAGAGATGTAACTTCTTCATCTGTACTTTGTTTCCGAATTGCATTCACAGACATTCCAATTCTTGTAGACTGAAAATTAAAATAGTTAAGATCAATAACAAATAATTTCAAGATTATATATTATATATCCTGATAAAGGAGGAAAACCTTGTGGCTTAGTGGCTAACACAACTGCCTAATATGTAATACAGCACAGGTTCGAATCCAAGTAAGGATATGGCTAGCTGATGAGAGCTAAATAGCTTGAAATAGATCTATACTAGTCTCCCTTTATTTATTTATCAGCACAAATGCAACATATATATATATGTT